GTGAGGCATTGGTTTTAATACTTAAATGTGGTACTTTATACATAGAGTTTTAACATAGATACTTACAACTCAATTCAGTCTGAGAGGTGGTTACCATACTGTAAATAAATGAAGTTAAAACTGTCATCCACTGCCTTTCATAATGTGTTTTTGGATCTGCTATATCCCACCTTTCTGAGCACAACGTTTTGGAGGTTCCAGCTTCATTGTGTGGCCTGCAATGTAACAACACAGATGCAGGTAGGTCTGACTTCAGGGCCAGCGAGGCCAACACATCAAACAAAGCAAATTACAGCAACTTAACCTTTGTGACAAAAATATACAGCAGAAAACAAGATTTAGAAAACCCAGTCATCATTCTCTGTGCTTTCCCTATGTCTTTCCTTCTCTCTGTCTCTGCATATTTTGTGTGTCTCCCCGTGTGCCCCCTCTCCCTCCTGCCTCTGGTTGCTGGCTGATTGAGCTGACTCATCAGGATCTGTATATCGACCCTGGTTCTCCAGTCATTTATCACCGGGTCGTGCAGTGTGCTACAGCAATAGTATGCGCTCTTGGCCAAACTCTGAGTCAGTCAGTGGAGTTCCTGCAGTGTTGTTTCCTCGTGTTGAGGAGTAATTGTGTTTCCCAGTGCTCCAGAAACCGGTTCTCAGCCTGCCACGCCATCTCCCCTAGCCGTTCTGACAGCCAAGCCGTCCACCACTCTCCGCCATCTTCCCTTAACTTTCGCTCTCCGCCAGTCCCCAAACCCAACCTCATTCCCCCTTCTTCCCCTTCTTGCAACACATTTCCTCAATCCTTTTACTGTGCATCTGCTTTTGGGTCCAACCAACCCTGCTGAAAGTCACAGCGGGAACAGTTGCAAGTGTGGCTTTTTGGAAGAAGTGACATGAACCCATTGTATGACCCCAGAGATAACCCTGAATCTTCTCAGCACCCCAACACCACCCCAATGCATCACACTCACTAAGCTGTCATTCTTTTGCAGCCAACTTCTATTATGTTGATCTGAGCACAACATCACATCAGCAACATAGCCGGGGCTTGGTCAGTCAATAGTGGAGCTACTACCTCGCCTTCACTTATTACTCTGCACTTACAACAATGAGCTTTACAATGAGTTCCTTATAGACTACATCTGATTGTTGAAGCTTGTTTGGCATTTAACAAACATGAGAGAAAGATCTGCAGCCACCACTCAGGGCTGAAAATATGGAAGTACCCTCATCTGAAAAAAATCAGTCATGAAACTTCACAGGTGTGTATTTGAGATCAACATAAAGGCCAATGTGGCCATTGCCCATTTAGTGCTCCTGGTGCAATTTGGCATTGCTTCTTGGGTCCATTGAAAGTCTATACTTTTCTTTTTTATTAATTTTCTTGAATTATGATTATTTATTTTGCCATTTTGCATTCATGTGATAGTGACCGTAGAGATACAGACAGGAGACATGGGCAGAAAGAGGGGTATGAAGTGCCACAAAGGTCCTCGGCTGGAACACTACAGCTACACGGTATGAGCCTCAGCCACCAGGTCATCAGCATAACGCAAGCAAGAAAAATGACTGCCTATGAATTATTTCCTGCTAGATAAGAGTGGTAATGCTGCAGGTTACAGTCTCTGCAGCTGTCGGACCAAAATAATTAGCTAAAAAGAGTCTAGAAGCCAGGTGCTCCGTTAGCCGATACTGTCATTCTCACCTCCTCCCTCACTTCTACCATCACTTTCTCGTCACATGTAGTCCTTTGATTCAATGTAAATGTGAAACATAATATGCAATACCAATTTGATTAACAGTTTTGAGTGTGAACAGCTGACCTCATGCCATACAAACCCTGTAACAGGGAGCTGTTCAGTGCATCTGTACTCTTCTCCCCAATCACAGCAGGATTAAATCTCCACAGACCCAATGTAGGACACAGCGCAATGCACCTTTAAATAATTTGTCGAGCTCTTCATCCTTCTGAATGAGACAACTTTAGCAATTCCAGTGTGTATTTTTGAATTATTGATTACAGAGGTTTGAATTATTTACTGTTAACTTGACATGACTTCATGGTTTGAGAGCAGTCTGTTAAGCCTCACAGAATGGTACGTTTTTAGTGTATTTTTTAGATGTATGTTACTCAACGAAAACCCCAAACCTTTGTGTGATCTGTCCACAGTAAGGCAAATATGTAATTTCTGTATTAATTGCAATGCATTCGGAATGCTATTGAAGCTTTGAACATGTAAACCTTCTCTTTAAATGAGACCGTTAGTTCTTTACCTTTGGCAGGGAGTATTCAATTCAATTCAATTTATTTTGTACAGCCCAAAAACACAAATTTGCCTCAGAGGGCTTTACAATCTGTACACATGCCACATCCTCTGTCCCAGGACCCTCACATCGGAACAGGAAACAAGTATGCACTGTGGTTTTAACGTGGGATTCTACAGTACAGCTCACATTAAGAGAAATGAACTATTCTTCCTAAAGATGGATGGTGGTAGAGACCAGTAAACATTGAGGACATACAAACACAAAGTCCACAGCTCTGACATGAGCTCTGGTGGTATCATGTGAACACCACATATCAGGACTGAATACATCAGGAAGGGGACATAGTCATATTTTCTTCATTCACTACTTCAAGATCTCAAGATCTGGAGGGATTAAACTAATTTAGAGCAAATGAAAAGCTGCAGGGTGTACTGTATTGCACATAATGGAAGCAGACATGAACTCTACTGTTTGTAGCATGTACTTCTATAACCTATTTTGGATGATTATTTTGAAAAGACACTATACATGTAATGAACGGAAACTGACACACCGTCTCTGTCACATCCAAAACCTAGGTTACCTAGAGACTGTCATGGTTTGAAGCTGAGGAGCACTGATCAAGCGTCGGTATTTGACAAGTTGGGAGTGAGACATGTTGTATTTAGCAGCTAAAGAGATTACTGCCTTCTTCTTGGGGTCCACACCAAACAGCAATACATGTTTAGAATGACACAGTATGAGTGGAGCAGTAAAGGGCATCACGACCCAAACATTTACAACAGAAAACACTGTAAAGGATTTTGCATATTCTGAGTTGATTCAACTAATTCATAATGTACCACGGCTGTGTATGGCAAATTGGGTATGGTGAAGGTGAACTTTGAATGTAGGTATTTACTAGCCAGACATGCCACGGTGTCTAGAGCTTTACCCTTAAAACCAGCATGATGCTCCACTTTCCACGTTTCTCATTGTGCTTCTTACTTGACCCGTTGATGCAGCAGGTGACCCCATCTGTTTCACAGGAACCAACGGAGAGTCAACCGTAACAAGACCTGCAGCGCAGTTCCAAGCTCAACCTTCCAAACTGAGAGGAAAAAGGTAAAAGGGTCAAGAGTACTTCAGTATAAATAAATCATTATTATTATAAACATGCAGGAAAAGAACATTATTCATTTCATTCATATTTAATAAATAAGATTCTCTAGAAATAGTCTCAGTTCATATTTATGAACAGCACCAAATATCCTGCTGGTCCCTGTACAGCGAGGGTCTGATCTGGTTTTTCTAAAAATAGAAGCGCACAGCCTCCTCAGTCAGCTTTGTTCCATCACACTTAGCTCATTGCAGAGACTGGAAAAGGAGACTGGGGTGTCAGATTGTGGCAAAATATTAGCTGTGAAAGGCCATTGACCCGCAGGGCACTGACAAAGAAGGACTTGGCTTGTCCCGATACAACAATAATTTATATGGCGTCATCACGGCTCGATTGGTTCATAACAGTGTGATTAGATATCTAAAAAATAGCACGACACAACTTCAGTGCTTCACACAGGATCATCCACTAGACATGACACTTAGGGGATTAGCATTTCATACCAATTCAACTTCATAATATTTTATCATAGTAGTAGTAGCAGTATTTTTATTCAGTTTTATTCAATATGTATATATCATATTTGCCCCACACACAAGACAACAAGTATTAACAGTCGTCGTTATTAACGCCCATGGCGGTAGGCCGTGCCCCTCTACTCTGCACCTCTGACCTGACAGGACTCACAGGACAGCCAACAGTTGCCACAGCCCAGCACCCTCCTCCACACCGACGTCTCTCGACTTCAGCCGGTTAAGGAGAGTTTGAGTGCCTGATTCCCTGGACCGTGCTGGTTAAGTGTCTTTTTATCAGAGTAAGCCTTTAAGCACTTTGATATTTGACCTGACTGTGAACGAGCCGTGATGGGTTCTTGCGTGTTCTGTGTCAGTGAGCGTTACATAGACATCGTTTAAACATGTGTGTATTTAATTACTCATTTTTCATTGTGGCAATACTTTTCCATGTCATTTAAAAAAATCAGCTTCAAATCATCTGGTCTGTGACAATAACCAATGTTCATGATACTACTTAGCATAACTTGGTAGTATATATATATAACACTGTATATATCACATATCACAACCCGCTCTATTTAGCTGCGTGATGAGATTATGTTGAACAGCAGAAACTTCTAGTGTACAAGCTGGAAGGATCAGAGGTGGACATGTGCCCTGCTTCCACCAACTCAGAATACACAACATCGATGTTAACACAGTGGAGAAAATACATAACACTGTTTATTGTATTTCACTTTATTTCTTTGCTTGATTTAAATCAAATCATATGTAACTTTATAATTTTAAACAGGAAATGAATTCGGTCAGAAGTGCATACAGGGGTGAAAACAGCACAAAAAACAATATAGATCATTTAAAAGTTTGGCAGTTTAAATGTTCCATACTCAGCCTGTACAGGATATTCTTGATGATAATTGATGTTATGTAATTTAAACGAGTCAATTGTAAACCTATTCACATTTCACTCTCTTTTCTTCAGTTATAAGTGTAGTGTTTGTAATGGACTTGAGGTTTGGTGACTCAGTTATATGTCCAAATACTTCAGTAAATTGCTGTTTTTTTAAGTCAGAGAAAAACAAACAGAATCTGAGTTGACCACATGGATGAGAGGACATACATTGATTAGTTTCAATAGCAAATATTTATTCAAATCATTTGGACAATGCACAATTGTTCGTCTACCCTGATCAACGTGCTCTGAATAATCAGTGTGATTGCTCGTCTATAAGCAATCCATAATATTTTGACTGTTACACAAAAACGTAACTAATGAGCCTTTCTTTCCTTTTTGGACTCAAGTGATGGTAAATCTGTTTTTTACATTTTGTTTCTTCTTTTTGCTGCATAGAATTCACACAGCTGATCACAGTATCAGAACACATGAATCAACACAAGAGGCTACACATGCAGAGAGCATCCGTTCACAGTTCTACTTATGGAATCTACATTTCTACCCACGTGTCACATCACACCTTTGATTTCACAGGCCTTTGGGAAAGGCTCTAAATCAGACACATCGTTTCAAAACAATGCCATAGAATTATCAAAGTTATATCTCTTTTCTCTTTATCCAATCTATATATTAGATATGTTACTCTGGAGGAATCTCTGTTACATCTATGTGTCCTGAAGGGAGTACGGACAACGTTAAGGCTTCGAACTAAAATGTAAGGAGTTTCTGTCTCGATGTCTTTCCTCCAATTCTCTCGACAACAGTTCATAGGACCAGAGGAAGAGCAGTGTCGAGTGTGAGCCTTTGAGAGCTACGGGACACATTTACTAGCAGAGCGTGTGTAGTGTATTTAGAGGGAAGCCCTATTTACACACCAGAATGGCATGATAGGTACAGCTTGCTCTCAACTTTGTAAAGGTGGCCATGATGTCATGATGACATACAGGTTGGTTTCACAAGTACTCTTAGTAGAGAGTAAAAATGGCAAAGTCTTTTTTGATATGTTTGATGTAAAGATGAAATGTTATCCTTGAATAAATGGGTGTAGTAATATCTCAGTGGGTAGCTGTACAGTACTGCACATTGGAAGTACTCTTAGTTACTTACTCTCGTAGTCTGAAGTACTTTAGTCCGATATCAGACCTTGTAATGAGCTCATATCCTTCTGTATGTTTTCTGTCATTTTTAAGGCAGTCCTATTTCACCTGTATGTCGGTTTGTAGATTTTGTTAACATGAACCAAAAAGCTATCACTATAGTCGGCCCGTTGTTGATTTGTGTTAGTATGAGTTGCAGAGTAAAGGCCAATTCATACTCTGCACATGTCCACTTTGGTCTGCACGACGTAAATGTTGTGCTACGTGTGCAGTCCAAAACTTGCGCCGACAGTACTACGCATAGCAATCGCGCCGACTGCACGTGCTTCAGTTCCGTTCCCTCCTCCAGTTCAGCTGCTGGCGTGTGCACCTTTAGCTGGTTTGCCAAGAAGAAGATCACAAGGTGGATGTTTGTTTAGAAGAGAGGTTGTGCGAGGAGGCCAATTTGTCTTTACAGGATTACAAAGACAGCCAAATGGCCATGAACTCCTGGCAAACAGCGTTAAGCCGCCTTACCCCACCAACTGAAATGGACTGTGGATGGGGAAATGTGCATTTAGTGTATGGTAGCCACTCAAAGTGTGTGTTTATTGATAGGAAAGACATCTCTGTGGACTGCACCAAAGTAGGACAGTGAGGAGCAGAACTATTGGCCAAGCGGACGAGCCTGTCTGACTACAAATCACACAATCCTGATACACATCATGCTAAAAGTAAACCGGCATTGGATTGTGTTCAACAAATTCTAGCAACATTTTGAGGGAAGTCCAAACTACAGGACATAGGTACAGGATTGAGTGAGTGGCAGCTTCATCTTAGTACAACCAGACTGTAGTAACGACCTGTACCTATGTACAGCAGGGTTAGACCTATTGTTGTGATGACAGTGCAACTTTAATGCACTCAAAGATTTGACAGTTTGAATCAGACAAAAGAATGTATTTAAAATATTCAATCCACCTGGATTACTTGGAAAATAAGTGTTTTCTTTTTGAGGATTTGCTTGAATCAAAACCTATTTCACACATTTGTTAAATTATGTACACATTCAAATTAAAATGTTCAAGAATGAACTTCATTAAAGCAACAGAAAAAAAGAACACAAGTGTCAGGTGTTGACCTGAAGGGGCAACAGTACTTAGATAAAAAAGATTGTCATATAACTTTCACTATGAAACACAGGAATAAAGAACAAACTGTTTAACACATTGGTAAATTCAATTTTTTTTTTGCACATTTATGATAAAAATATTGTGATATGCACTATAGAAAAGTGACCATGCAAATGTTACTGGGCTATAGAATAAATCATATACAATATAATGCAGGATTGCTATACAAATACGGAAAACTACATCTGATTTATATTTCTTTTCAATGAAAAATTCTAGCTTTGGCAAATTTTCTCATATAGACTCTGACTAAACATTTTCAGGGCACAACTGGTGCCAATGCTGCGTTTGTATCAAATTGAATTTGCATCCAGTGGGTGCTTATTTAACCACTGAGATACTATTTATTTGATATGCACTATAATGTAAACAACAGCCACTATCCTGTTCCTACTTTTATTAATGTTAAAGAAAGAAAAGAAAAACATATTTATTTGATACAACTACTGTCAGCGCAGAGGAACCAAACGGTTTCCCAGAGGCCGTCTATATTTGCCTCGACGTAGAATTTGAATCACTAGGTTGGATTTGGTAGAAAATCTGCTGGTTGCTTTATGGCACAAAAGGAAATGACTTCATAGCACAGAAACTGGAAGAAGTGCTGTTCTTCCAGTGCATACGGCAGAAGGTGAAGGGAGCGCTGAACCCAGCTAAACCCACCCGTTACATGCTGATCCCGTTCAGTAAAGCCAAAGATCCCAAAAGGGTTTCATTTGATGGTGAGAATTATACTGAGGTATTACAATTCAACAGCAATATTGTATATTCTTGTCAAAAAAATGCTACATGTAGTACCTGCACAACAAATCAAGTTTGTTTTTTTGACTAGGCGAGCACAGTGCTTCTGCTCATAAAGAACAAAGATTTAAAGTGATTTCACATTTTTCTAAGAAAAAGATGATTTTATAGACACTTCAAAAATTTGGGAAATATGTTTGTTTGCTGTCTGGATCAGTCTCACCTCTGTGCATCCAGTACAGAAGTAGGTCCCTGATATGTTGAGCTAAGCAGAAAGGCTGGTGGCCTTTATCTGAAATAATAGAAAGGCCTTCCAACAACAAAGCAACATGAGTAGACTCAGAAGATGAGATAAGGTGGTACTTCTGTTTTGCAACAACTCCTTGGCACAAAGACTGCAGGCAGCTAGAACTTTGTGCTAAACACATTCCCGACCAACCCTGTTGCATCACTTTGATTTATTTCTGCTTTGCTTCTGTGAAATCTATTTTTCTCCTTTTGGTTGGGTCTGGCTGTTCTAACTGGGAGAGTTCTAGGCCCACACAACCCTTGGAAGTGCTCAAACGTATCTCAAAACCCAAAATAACCACTCTGTGACTTAATGTTAGCATTTGGTCGGGGGATTTACAGCAGCAAGTATATTTCTCAAAATGTTTATTTGAAAGCTACAAATATCGCTTTTAAGCAGACTGAAACCCACCAATTTCAGTTGGGTGGCTTGAGGTGAAGTATTGCATTGAGTTTTGGAAATACACTATTTATCTTATGGTCTAAATAAGCAAACAATCCAACTGTGTTGCTGCCTGTTTTGTGCTATAGATGTGGGATTGGCACGGACATCCAAATGTTAGTACAGGATATAAAGATAAGGTCAGGGTTTACGATATACAAAGTACAGTAAACGCATATTTCAGTGCAAGTCACAGCATAATTGACTTCATAGCTACAGAAGGAATGCTAAGCACACTTATGGTTCAAACAGTATTCTGTTGAGTATGTGGTATCTGTACAGAAAAGAGACGGAATACAAAACATATCTCTGTCACGTATTAATGTCGTTGTTGCTCACTCTAAAATAATTCATTCTTTATCTATTCAAATGATACAGTATGTCGTATAGTAAATAGTATATTCTGGTGTAGCACCCTTTTCAAACATACAAATTATGTACAGTGCAGGGAAGTAAATACTGGTTCTACAGCTATGATACAATTATTTTGCTGTAGTTTGCTACAGTTTGAACGTCACTGTGCTACTTTCTTTTTTTCTCTGATGATTCATATCCAAAACATATGGAACCGTTTTACAAAAGGCTCTCCTGTCCCCAAAGCACTGGCACAGCATCGACAAAACAATAGGTTTCCTTAGGAGTGACCACAAAAGTACACAGTGATTATTTCTACAACACTTAAAAAGGTTGTGACTTAGTGTAAACACGTACAAAAATCTCATGCGGAATAAAACCTTTTCTCTTTTGAAGTTAGCATGATATACACAATGGCAGGTAACACTGACTTGTCACAGATATGGGGTTCAGCTGTCTTGCATTATTAGCTCCGTCTTCTCAGAAGTCTCCGGGCACTCCTCACGTTAGTCCTTGAAAACGGGAGTTATCGACGTTCCCTTGTAGAAAATGTTCCGTGCATTATCGGGGCTGTTGGCTCTCTCTGGAATCAGGATGACATTATTGCCTTTTCTCCGCAGAGTGGACTCCCGACTGGACGGGACAGAGGGGGTTTCCAAAGCGCTCTCCCCGCTTCCTCCTCTACCGCCGCCTCCTCCAGATCCACAACCGCTACCATCCCCCGGAGTGACCCTTATGGTAGAAAGGCCCTGGGGCTGGAGCCTGTGCTCTGACTGGCCGGCGTTCTGGGTGTGAACAGTAACTATGGGTGGGGTGCTAATGGTGGCGGTGGTGGTGGTGACGATGTGATTGCCGCGTTTCCTGTCAATGGACCCATCACGAATGGAGTCTGAGCTTTCCGAGTTAAGATCGTTGAGGTCAAAGGACTGCCTCAAACTCCCACCTCCTCCTCCTGATCCCCCTCCTGCTCCACTAGGCCCTGTGAATACGACAGCTCCGTTGCCGTGATCCAGCGACCGCCACCTCCATGATCCGCTTCCATCTGTGGACGGAGCTTGGATCACCGGCCTGTATTCAGGGTGGGCCTCTACTCTGACGATTGCTCCGGTACTCTCTGAAATGCTGGTGGTGCTACCCAGTGAGCTGGGCCCCGTGATGCTGGTGGGATCTTGATCAGACAGAGCCCTGTAGCGTGCAGAGCCCTGGCAACTCCCGGTGGTGCCGATGCCGCTCTCATCTAAGCTCTTAGAATGGGTCTGTAGTAGACCCTGCTGCTTGGACATTGCAATCACTTGCATGATTCGTGGCTGGGTGTTGTGCCCGTTTTCGTTAGTCCTGCAGGCTGCGGTCATCTCCGCTGCCCTTTGCCAGTTTGCCTGAACTGTGGTATTTATCATCGACATCTCATCACTTCCTCCCCCTCCCCCCGTCCTAGGGGAGGAGGTGTTGTAATTCTCATGAGCCTCCTCTGGTATGTGGACGAGCTGTGAAGACCCAGGTCTAGATTGCATGGATATCCTGGCCCCTCCGGTGATGCCGCTACAGTTACTGGGCAGGGTGGTGCTAGCTCCCGTGGCCAGTTTGGACATGTATGCATGAGCATCAAAGCCTCCATTCAGGCCCATAGCAGATGGGTCGGAGCTGGATCGGAGCTCCATACTGCCGTGGTGGTGCGGATGCTGGGAGGACTGGCCGGATGAGGAATCTACGGAAGTGGAGAAGGAGTCTGGGACCTGCAGGGAGCATTTGTGGTTGTTGTTCTTACTTTTCCATTGAGACAGAAGCTGCTTTGAGCGGCTGGAGTCCATGGAGGCATGGTGGAGGGTGGCGGCGTGACGCCGAGCTGCTTCCTCATACGCTGCCATGGCCTGGGGGGTGTGGACCCGAGGAAGGGTGTGGCTAAAGGTCACATAGGCTTCTTTGCTCTGGGGGCTGCGGGGGGAGATCACTTCCACATCAGCACTGGAACGCTTCAGACTGTCATCAGACCTTGGCTGCTGAAGGCCTCGGTGGAGGAGGCCCTCAGAGTGGGAGATGTGTATGCCGGGCTCACCGGCCATGCTGGCTTTCATCTGCAGGTGGTGGAGTACAGCCTCCTGGCTTATGTGGGGCAAGGAGCAGGGGGGGCGGTGTATTATTGGAGGGGGACTGACACTGGCCTCCTCACTAGGCTGAAAATTTCCCACTGCATGCAATCCCTGGCAACAGAGCAGACAGAGAAACATTTTACTTGATGCATACTTTGCCTGACACCTTGTTGAGTTTTTTGTTGAACAATTTCAAACCATTCTTTCAATAAAATGATTAATCGAATGACGATTTTGCAGATTATTCTAAAATTCTTTTGTTGTTTCATTGATATTTCAATGTTTTATTCAATAACTTTCTCTTAAAAACAATTTTTTTTGAATGCTTAAATTCTGAAGGATTACTGTGACACGTGATTCATTTCATGACTGTGTCATGGCAACCCTTTCTCTCTGTAATAACAGACTGTAACAACTGATTGTAACGTTAGTGAAAGCCCCTTTTCTCACTCATACATGGCCGTTAATGTAACATCACCTCACCAACAGCGGTGCAGAAATGACTTTTAACATCTATTTTAAGTGACTACTAACAGAAACATGTTCCGCGTGCTGATAATGCTAACATTTCATGCTGTGGTGCTTTGTTAAAGCGCTTCTGGAAGCTTTTACTTTTGGACGTGTTCCTTCGACAGTTGTTCTGCTGTGATAAGCCATTTTAAATATACAGTTTACAGAGTACCACATTGTTAAGTCTCTGTCTAAAATACTTAGACAGAGACTTAGACAGGCGAGCTGTTTTAGCTGCAGCTTGTTCTCAGGGGAATGCATGCCTCAACCGGGCGCAGCCAGTCTTGCGACACGCAGACACACATATCGTATTTTTTTTAATCAAATTAATTTCTGTTGGTCAGTCTTCTACTTTAGTCCAGACTAAAATAGCTCAGCAATGTTTTTATGAATTGATTTGAAATTAGGAGTCCAAAGATTCTGGAGGACTGCTGCTCTTGAACTCAGAGAAACAATCTCCAAACAGGGAAACCAGTGGACAGGAAGCTGTTGATGGGACTGGCCCCTACCAGATAGACAGCGATAGATCCTCCGAGCAGGAAGCCCAGGTAGACGTCGATGGCGTGGTTCTTGTACTGAATAATCCGGGTCAGACCACAAATGATGGCACAGATAATGAAGGAGAAGACCAGCAGGGGCTTGAGCAGCTTGGATGAGTCGGTCAAAGTGCTGTTGAAGTACATCTGTGGACACATGACACATTTTCAGATTTTTATTTTCATGATGTCATGATGCTGCTTTGTGTTATAGTAGTGCACTATTCCATAACCCCTCACAGGCAGCATTATTTGGCATTTAGGTTGATACAAAGCACACGAGTTATCAGTATCCATATATCGTCTGATTGTTGCTGATGTTCCACAGTGTGAGTCACTACCTCACACCACAGATTCATATGCCGCATTAATCCTCTTGTATCTTCTTCTTCTACGTAGTTTTGACCAATAAGTCTCTAAAAGATATTTTTAAAGATAATTACAAGATTTAAGTTTTGCACAATTTTAGTATTTCAGTCGCAATGTCAGTATATCACTTCCAAACACTGTTAGATCATATAACCATGTATACAAGTACGAGGATGTGTGACTGGATTGTTAAATCTATTGTTAATATTTTAGTTTTTTTAATTGTATATTTAATCATTATTATTAATATTCTATTACTAATGAAAAGGGAGGAAAAGACTTAGGATACAATAACATAAGTGTGGAGGTCTGGTGTACATCACAATGTGAACCTGCTAGGACTGTAAACAGTGTCTTATTAGCAGTGGTGCCATTCAGCATCTTATCTCATCAAAGTTGACATTTGCAGTTGAGCTTTCAATCTTTGGTTCATTGTGCCACAGCTGACAGACTAATTAATTAGCTGTACTGCAAACTGGTGTCACCACCCAGTCTTTATTCATCTCCGAGATGAGTGGATTTTACACAGCGAAGCAAAAGTAGTGTAGAAGAGAGAGCCATGCGGAATAGTTGATCTGGGCTAATCCCACCATCCGCCACTCAGTGTTCCGCCCTCTACTGTATCATTTGGCGCCTCACGGACGGATGAGCAGTTAAGTGTTTGCGTGGGCTCAAACTGTTACTCACCGAAACATAGACAGCGGCGAATGATGCGAGGGTAGCGTGCTGCGACGGGAAGGATTTTCTGCAAGAGTTGAAGGAACAGAAATAGACTCAGCTGACGTTCTCACATCGGCATGGGTGAGTCAACAGGAGGCGTCAACAAAACACGAGCATAATGAGCTATCTCACATACCAGCCGGCACACACACTTGGATGCTATGGGTTGAAAGAGTGAACCAAATTAGACACATCTTTTCATGTTTTCTTCGCGTTAGAGCCCACGAAAAATAATTGAACAAAGGCAGTCAGAGAGCAGTGCAGGGATATGACTATCTGATGCCACTGAATGAATATGCTGCAGCGGAGCCGCAGCAGCTCGACGACATAATATAAGTGAACCTGTGGCCCAGTTTCTCCAGCTCCAACCCAATGACCTACTTCTGACAACTCCACCAACCAGCCCTCATCTTTACTCCTGACTCTGCATCTGTGCAAATATGTGTCTTTAGGTGCATTCATGCAGTTGTGTGCATATTTGTGTGTGTGTGTGTGTGTGAGAGTTTTGTGTGCTCTCCTCCTTAAACCCACATTTACAACATCTGTGGAATCATAAAAATTTCATTCGCACATGAAAACTGATCGCACTGCTTCTGAATGTGACCCACTTATAGTGCTGAAATAACCAACACAAATGTGGACTTTCATTTCTATTATGCACATACTATTAGAAATATATTGTTATAAATGCTATAGTTATGGTTTCTTAAAACCAAGAAATGAAAACATAATAAATATAAAGAAATATATAATATAAATGTATCAAATTGAAAGGATAGCTTGAGCATATCAAGTCTTTATTTAAGGCCCCACACATTTTGTGAGGTCATAGTGACCTATGACCACCAAATTCTAATCAGTTCATCTTTGAGTCCAAGTGCACTTTTGTGCCAAATTTGAAGAAATTATGTCTCCGGCGCAGAGCCATAAACAGTGGGTAATGCTCCCGAGTTCAAAAGGTTTCTGGAAAAGCTCCTTCTGTGGAAATGCACTATTTTGTCTCGCTAAAGCTGGTGCTTAACTACGGCGTTTTTTTTTTTTAGTCAGTTGGTCTTTCTGCCTCTGCTGTTAAAAAT